GAGCCCGCCGCATCCGAAGCTCTGTGGAGGAGCTCAAAAACGGGGGGTTTAAAGTGGCCCCAGAGGGGATTTAGGCTACAGAGGCACCAGGGGAATAAACGGTGATTTATTCCCTCCATTCTGGCCCATTTGCTGGAAGGAAAAAAAAAATGTGCGGGTGGGTTATTTTTTTAGAGCAGACAAAAAAAAAAGGATGAAATATTTAAAATAATAATAAAATATTGGTGAAGTTATGGATGGTCGGGGGTTTAAAGTGGCCCCAGAGGGGATTTAGGCTACAGAGGCACCAGGGGAATAAACGGTGATTTATTCCCTCCATTCTGGCCCATTTGCTGGAAGGAAAAAAAAAATGTGCGGGTGGGTTATTTTTTTAGAGCAGACAAAAAAAAAAGGATGAAATATTTAAAATAATAATAAAATATTGGTGAAGTTATGGATGGTCTAATGCAGTTCCCTTCCCCTAGTCCAGCCTGCCTGCCCCAATGCCCTCCTCCACAACAGGTTTTTTTATTTGAAAAGACCAGAAATTGGTGCTGGGCAAGGAGAGCAGAACATCCCTTTCATCCCCTTCCAGAGGCAGACTAGTGAGAAAACTGTGAGGAAAAGTCAAAAAATGTCAAAGGCGGCAGATAATGAAGTAGAAAATTGTGCTGCTTGGAGCAGAGGAGGCAGCGCTGGCAGGCGGCCCTTCCCCGTAGAACAGAGATCTCCTGTCCCAGGTTTTCCTGGAACTGACAGGAATTTAGGTGATTGCAGGGGGAAGCAGCAGTAATTGCCCATTTATGAACATATCGATCGATGTGATTTGGGGCAATTAAATGCACTTGGAGGTAATGACCAGATTCTGCTTGTATTAGAACTGTGCCAACGTGCGATTGGTATCAGATACTGCTAGAAATGGTTATTATGGTGTCTGAATTAAAGTTATCTAAATAACTTCACATAGTACAGATTGCTCTAATAAAATACATTTTGTCTTTCTAGATGTTTGAGACTTGAGATTTTTTCCATAATGAATGAAAAGGATAAATAAAAGCACTATGTTTTTAAGCACCCATAATCTGCCACCTTTTTTTCATAATACATTTCTTCCATGTTACATTTGCTTTTGAAAGATATTGATTTGCATTTAAATATGCAAAACAAATGCTTGAAATATTAGCTTAATATTCATTTATGGTGCACACATTTCAAACAAGGTTCTAAAATAATCTAAATATTCCTCTGCAATCTCTTTTAATCTAATGGATTTTTTGAGAGGCATACTTTAAAAAGCATTTTAAAACATTTTTGTACGCTTTTTGAATGATGCAATGAATTTATTAGTTCATCCAAGCTAGTAGGAAGTGCTTCTTCCCATACGAGTGAAATAGAGTAACAAAAGTCAGATTGTTTATAAGTGCTAAAAAGCTGCTACATTTCTTGTTAGCCAGGGACCGGAATTGTTGTTTGGGACCCAGATATTACATTGAGAGACACTTCGCTTTTATTTATGAATGTCCTAATGTTCTTATGGGACTATACCTAGAAAATTTACTTCCATTTACTGCTCAGTAAATATTCTTGCATCTGGGACCCCTGCTACCTAGAAAAACTCTGGAAAGCTCAAATACAGGGGTCTATATGGAAGCACATCACTCTGCTTAGAAGGGCTCTACTATTAGCTTCTATATGTTAGCTTCACTCCTAACTTCCTGCAGTTTGAGGGAACTTAAATACTAAAGCTGTTTATATCTGAGACGTTTAGAAGAGTACATCTGTTTATAAACACGCACTCCAATGCTTGATTACAGCTGTTTTTTTCACTCTGATGTGTAGGACATTCCTCCTCTAATGAATAATTCCATATCCTGCTACCATCTTTTATCTAAAATGATCGGATTTAGATTGCTGTACAGAATTTATTCACCAGCATCATCCAGTAACAAAGTACAAGAACGCAAAATGGCAAGCAAAGAACATCTTCTAGATTTTAAATGAAAAGAGTATTGAGGCGAGCCAGCATGTTATATATGCAGAAATGGGATTTGATCAGGACGGAATGATTTATGTTCTCTCTTTTGTGAAGGATGTTTATTACTTGTTGCTAAGCACAGGAGCATTTATTACAAGGTCGTTGTTGGTAAAGCTTTCAATTTCTTGGTAAACTGTATAGAACAACGGCCTTGTTTAAGTGTGACATTAGGTTTGTTCATCATCTTCAATTTGCTACCATACATTTGAATTCAGACTTTTAAATTAGTCCCCCTTCGAATATTTGAATTCAGTTGAGCAGATGAAGTAACTCGGGTATTTTCTGCTTCTCGTGTATAAAATTGGGAAAAGACTATTACTGATTCTCACTTCTTTTAGCCACAAGTGCTGCTGACACAGAGCGAGGGCAGAGCCTGCGGAGGGTAGCAAGGGTAACTCTGCTTTGCCCACCTCTCTTTGAATGGTATTTTCTTGCCTTGTGAGTAATCCTGTGTGACTGAACAACTCAAACATACCTTCTCGACGGTACTCCAACATTGTCAAAACAAATTTAATTTAAAAACTCAGGATATTTTGGCTAATATTTCAAATAACGGCATGTAACGGCATATAACAACATAAAAATGTATTAACTTGATGAAGGTCAAACTTAGACCAAATCCTCTTTGTAGTTTATAAATATGTGTCAATTAAGTTAGTTTTTAAAAGACTTACAATTTTTGTTCCAGTTCATTCAACTGAATGTTCATGAATTTGCCTCCAAGTCCATGGTTTGCATTATACTGAAAATAATTTTCCTTCCTTAAAATTCGTAATTTTGTAAACAACAGCTATTTACTACTTTTCTTGGAAATAAGCTACCCGACAGA